GGTTATGGGTTCGATCCCGACCCTGACGCCTGCTGTATATTTGGAGTTTGCATGTCTCTCTATCCGTGGTGGCGTGTATTTTTCTCCGGGTCCTCCGGTTTTTCCTTCCAAATTTTCCCTCCACATTTAGAATCAACATGTTTTTAGTGTATTTGTCTGCTGTAAATCTCCACGTGGATAAGCCACTTCGTTGAGCTATCATTTGTGCCCAGGTCTATTCTGAAAAGAGCTATGTAGCTCAGTGAGCGTTACCTGGTAAAATAACATATATTTTAGTTTATAGTTTTAGTTGACCCCTACCATAGGAATGTGGAATTTCCAACTCAAGGCTGCTCGTGGAGATGAGTATCGCCACTCCGTACAGCAGGGGATTGTTTTAGCTTGCAATCAAGACGCCTGTTTGTTGTTCCAGGATGCTGGAAAGTCAAGTTTTATGGAAACTTAGTGGTTAATATAATAAGAAAATCAGATGAGTAGATTAAAAAATGTTCTTTGAAGGTCAAAGATCATCCAACCATTATCGTCTTGCAATTTTCCAAAGGTCATTCTGGTTTGAATTACGCTGCATGGGTCGATACAGTATTTGCTCATTTTTAAAAGAAGAAGACGTTTGTACAGAGACAGATGTGTTACAAACTTATCAGGTAGTGACACCGTACTTTTACTGGATCGCGCTAATGAAAGTGCTTAACCCACCAGAATGTTCTGAATCCGTATCCCAGACGGGAATGAACGTGACCCATCATTCTTACATGCTGGTTAAAAGTAATACTGTTTTGTGGGAAGTGAACAAACTGGTCCACAGCATAGGCATGTGGATATGTATTCAGTGGCTCCACAGCAGCCAACAAAGATCAACACCAACCCATTCCTTGTCTGAGCAGGGTGTTACATAATCTACTTCATTGCATATTTTAAAAACGGTTATGTTTTCTCATATATATACACACACTTCTTGTTAAATGAGCACAATTAATTTTGACATTCGAATTTTCCTCTGCTTTTGGTACGCACTGGCGATCGAGCTGGCCATGTGTTTTGGCAGGAAGTGAGTAAGCATGGCCATACATAGCCAAATCCGTTCTCATTCCACCCACCCACCCACACCCTGGACCTGATTGAAGTAAGATGTGGTGGACATTGGCACTAGGGGACTAAACGTATAAAACAAACACAAAAATCCCCACCTTATCTCCCCTGCCCTTTACATCGCCCCCCCCCCCCCCCATAAACTTCTTAGCAGTCACTAACGGGTAACATACCAGCGAAGCCGCTTCGCACGTTGTAGAAGCACTTTTATTATTTTTACTGGATGGTTTAATAAATGGATGGTCGCCCCGAGACCCTGGCTTGCCTGCAGATGTCTTTGGATCATATCATGCTTAATGCCCCCTTGAAAAGATATGCACTTGGGCCAAGAGGCTGCGTAGTTTCTGTCACCCAAGCCGGGACGTGTTGGGTGTTCCTTACTGCGCCTGACACCTCGCAGGCGTCGGGGTCAATACCGAGTGCTGAGATGTAAACGGTTCAAAGTCTGTTCCACTTGAGTCAGCTGCTTTACTCTCTCTCGTGAGCCCCCCTGAGCTTTGTTGCCTTCTGAGCGCAATGCATTCTTGGTAAGCCGTAGAGCCCCACCGTGTTATTTGCCACGACATGCGCCTTTATAGGTACTTTTCTTAAACTGAGTGTGTAAAAAGAAAAGAAAAATACCTGCAGTTACCCACCGGACTCAGTAGAGAGGGCACTGAGTTTCCTTTTTCATTATATTTTTTTGCATTTAATTGAGAATATGTGTGTGTGTGCACATCATACATGTGTAGTGACTGTACTTCATTAGACCTCCTTTGCCAGTACCAAAATATAATAATAGGGTTTTTCCCATTTTTTTCTGGCAACAAAACTGAAACCTTTTTACAAGGATTCATGTCTGCATTAACCACAATACTTGCAGTTAAAATGCAAACAAAAAACATACCATGATAATATATGCATTGTCCTTAAAACTGATTGGTCCACACCAAGGGACGGCTTTCTTTTGAGCCTCGACCCAATTGGTGCTCGACTAGAGGACGCCAAAAGGCGTACAGCTCAAAGACAATGCACTATCAAAGTAATGAGGGCTCGGAGTGAGCATCTACATCATTAGACCTCCTTTGCCAGTACCAAAATATAGGGGGAAAACCCTATTATTATTATTATTGTGACTGTACTTGTCACTGTGTGGTGCCGGGACTTGCGAAGTCACGGCCGGTAATGTTGTCATTGCGGGCAGCCCGGCTTGCGGGCTGCAGTACCAACCCTAGCAGTGGTTGGGTGAGCGCTGGTTAGCGCGAAGGCACCGCGAGCAGTGTGGGGTGCCGGCTCCCAGTGAGGGAGCGAGAGTGAGCGTCAGCCAGCCAGCCAGGGTTACTCTGGGGCATGACACACTGGTTGACCTGTTGTCACGTTACCGGACGATACTGGAGGGGGGGCCACCGGTGGACGGGGGCCGAGGGACGGTCACGTGGTCCCGGAGAGCTCTCGGGAACATTTGAGAAGGGGCCCGAGGTCGGCGTTACGAAGATCCACGTCGGGGAGAAGAAGCCTCTAGCCACGCGGTCCGGGACCCAGCTTGTGGTCCGGACCGGGATAGCGAACCGTGTCTAGTTCTGCCGTAGCGTGGTTAGATGGGCGTTCGAGACCCACGCGTAGGTTGTGTTATGTTGGTGCTGTTGTGTGAATAAATAGTGTTGCTTCCAAGATAACGTCTGCGACTCAGTTGGACTCACTGCACATGTGTAAACGTGTGTTTGCTGAACAACCAAGGTGGCTTGTTAGTTCAGGGGTCAGGGGCACTGAACCGGCACCATTGAGGTTTCTGGGTTTGATTCCCAGTTTCAGCCACAATTTATCAGTCTGGGTTATTAAGTTGATGGTCACATATGACTTAATGAAAAAAGCTGATTTTCTTTTTAGTTTTGACTACCATGGAATGAGTGATCTTTTTACTTATACCCTCTGGCGTGCTCTGTTCTGATGTTGCCGTTTCCTCCATACGGATTATTCTGATGTCGTTGTTGTTCGTGTTCTCTGCTGATGTACCACGGATCCTCCTTTGAAAACTATTTGCTTGTCAGAAGTAGCTCTATGATATCATCTTCTGTGGGCCATTCTCTCTGACATGGAGTGATAGAGTGCACTGTAAGAGTACCAAATGGACACTTCTTTTCGGGACATGACGCTAATAATCACACTTGGTAATACAATTGAGAATGTTTTCTGTACGTTTTAAATAAGATACTTAAAATTTATCAATATGCAGTCATTGTATCATCGGTAATAGAGGTTTTTTTTGCTTAGATCACATAAATATAAACTTGTCGTTAAACCCGCCACCACTCGACGCAGCCAATTAGTCGCGAAAGACTACGAATTAAATTGATTAATCAGAACAATAATCTATAGAATAATCGATAAAGGCTGGAACTTCAAATTTCAACACAGCCTCAAAGAAGCACCAGGTGCAGTGTGTCGCCATCTTCACTGGAGAACCCAAGGTAGCCTGACACAGTGCTCACCACATACTTGCCTTAATAGGTGCTCACTAACAATACTCGACTCCTTTCATCTGTACTCAGTGAAGCAGTCTCACAGCAGGGCAAAACAGACTCGTCACACAGCTCAAGTTTGCACCTGTCCTTCCGTTATCACAGAGTCCATCTGTCACAAGACCACAGTTGTGGGTGAGACGAATTCAAGACTGTGGTAATCGTCATGCTATGGAGAGTTTGGTGCCCTGTGTTGGGAATAATGCACAAAAACACTTTAATAATTTTTATACTTGAAACAAAAATGTACGTAGCATATCAACTCTCATTAACTGTCCATCACGTGGCTCCCTCTTTGTTTCTGGCCACCTTCACCTCTTTACCGCTGTGCAACCGAGCCGTGCAGGGCCCAGCCTGGCATGGCTTAGGAGGCACCAGGTTGTTGGTTTTTTTACACCGCAGAACCCCGAGCAGTGTCGCTGATGTCGCACGCAATGGAAAAGTCGAGTCGCCCTGTTTGGCTCGAGGCGGGATTCAGATTTCTTGTGATGCCTTAGTTTCACAGATTGGTTCTGTTTCGATTTAAAGCTTTCGTGACTGCAGGGATTCATCTTCTTGGTTCTTTCGGTAAAGTCACGTAGTAGGGAAGTAATAAAATAATAAATAAAACAATAATAAAAATAATATTATTTTATTATGTTTTATTTTTATTATTTTATTACTTCCCTACTACGTGACTTTACCGAAAGAATCAAGAAGATTGGTTCTGGTTTGGCTCTGCAAAACAGCCGGTGTTGAAGGGCTAAGTGGTTGAGCAATAGAGAGAAAGGCTCCATGAAGGCATCTTCATCTGTGTGTCTTCTTTATGGGGAGCATTCGTGTAGCGGTTAGCGCACCGCGCTACAAACCTGGTGGCCCGACTTCAATTCCCGCTCACGGCCAACATCACCAGTGACGATTATCTGAATGGATTATGGGCCTCCCCTAGGACGACTCGGCCTCAAATGAGTACCTGGTGCGGTATGTAAACATCACCACTGGAGTGACAAAGACGGCCGGCCGTGCTGCTGACCACCCACCCCCTCGTGTGTGGTACCAATCTTCATAGGTGCTCGCTGACAGCACTTGCCCCAACAGTCTGTGAAGGCTCTGTGGGGGATCTTTGTATTTGCATGCGTACGCACATAGGTGCTTGCTAACAGCACTTGCCCCAACAGTGTGTTAAGGCTATAGGTGCTTGCTAACAGCACTTGCCCCAACAGTCTGTTAAGGCTCTGTGGGGATCTTTGTATTTGCATGTGTACACACATAGGTGCTTGCTAACAGCACTTGCCCCAACAGTGTGTGTAAGGCTCTACAGATGATCTTTGTATTTGCATGTGTACGCACATAGGTGCTCGCTAACAGCACTTGCCCTCAACAGTGTGTGTAAGGCTCTGTGGGGGATCTTTGTCTTTCCATGTCTGCACACAGTCGCGTGAGGAGCTGAAGCCCGTGCGCGATGAGTTCGAACAGAGGAACAAGGCCCTGCTGGAGGAGATGCCTCAGCTCTACACAAGCCGAGCGGAGTACTTCCAGCCCAGCTTTGAGGCGCTCGTGCGCTCACAGGTATGCCCAGAGGCCCACACACTGTGCTCAGCGCAGCTGGGATCACGGTCGGAAGGTCGTGAGTTCAGCCGAGGCTATCCGATTCGTTCAGTAATCGACGGGAGTCGTACGTATGTACGTCTGAACGTCTTTCGCACCGTACGTAGCTCTCCCATGCCTGTTGGAGCAGGGTAACACTTATCCTCCAATGTGGGGGAGTGGAGTGGTGGCGCTGTGACTTACGATATGCGTTACGAACCCAGAACGTGAGTTGGATTCCCGACCACGGCTCACATCAGTTGTGAGTGAAATCTGAACCCGTCCAGTCACCAACCCGCACTGACGTTTATGGTGAAGTATAGTCGAACGTACTCCATGACCCATTCACGTTGGGGAGGCCTTCATTTACCAGCAGATTGACATGTGACTTTGAATTCGTATTATTACTATTATTATCCGTTGAACTGCAGAATCCGCACATATCGTGCGTTGCACCCATTGTCTTGAGTGGTTGTCATGATGCAACCTTGCAACAAATGGAACTGCCCCTCGTTGCCATGCCCGTGGAAAAGGGCAAAAACTCCGCAAGAAAGGTCTTCACGGAGCCCCCAGGGAGATTGATAAGCAAAGCGGCTCGTTTATTTTAAGGAGGCACGGTGTCGTTCACAATTATCGTCTCTCTCGTCTTCAACCCACACTGAACGAGGGTGGCTACGCCGTTCTAATGAGAAGTATAGATGTTATCACAGAAAAAATGTGTGTGTCCTTTACGAAGATGTTAAAGCACCCGTGTCATAAAGTACCCATTTGCATGCTCATGGAATAGTGTCATTCTCATCAGGATTATTATAGCCAAGAATAACACATTCCTGCGGAGGGAGCTGGTAGGAACGTTGGGTTGCTCGGTCAATGGCCAGGGTCAACGGCGGCGTGGTGTATTCCGCAAATATGGCCGACTGTGAGGGCGGGCACAAGCCGGCGTGAGTAGGTTTTATAAGGCCACCACGGGGTGACCAGCCCCTCCCCACCCAGTCCCTCCCCACCCTCCCCACCCAGCCCCATCCCCACCCAGCCCCTCCCCACACTCCCCACCTAGCCCCACCCTCCCCACCCAGCCCCTCCCCACCCTCCCCTTCCCACCCAGCCCCTCCCTGCACGACGGACAGATGGACACAATAATCCCCTGTGGGCTGATGGAACCAGTGGGTTCGAACTCACTACACTACCCGTAAAATCGCCTTGCATACCCTCTAATCAGATATCAATCTAATCAGATATCATAAACTAAGCTGCTTTTGAGCCTGGATAGGGCTCGGATGGGTGAACGGCATGTATAACAGGTGTCAGGCAATTTTATTGGCAGCAGAGGGCAGTGCATCAAAATCCAGTGTCGTATTGTACTCGTACGCTTTCACATCTATGCTCCCCATCTTCACTGTTCACCCATACTGACCATCGTGGTGAAGTATGGTCAATTCACCCCTGCCACCCATACGGCACGAGGGGCGGCGTGCATCCAGAAAGTGGATCATGGCTTATTGCACAATTAGAATGACGAGATATCGTTAGTAGGGTGGCACACTCGATAAAATGCTTGTGGTTACAATGCAGGTTGTGATGTCACATGATGTTGACTTAGCCGATCATTTTTCCCAACGTCGACAGTATTATTGCCACAATGTTGGCCTGACATTCAGCTTCTATTTGTTGCTGTTAAACTCAATAATTAAATATACGCATGGTTGTGCTCTTGCACATGCACGGAACTTGCACACACTGCACTGATTTAATTCGGTGAGTATATGCGTGTGTGTTTGGGTGTAGAGTGGGGAGCGGTGGCGCAGTGCTCAGCACGCTGTGCTATGAACCCCGTGACCCAAGTTCAATTCCCGTTCACGGCCCACACCAACGACGATTATCAAAACCGGTCCTGGGCCTCACCTCGGTCGACTCAGCCTCAAACGAGTAACTGGTTAAGTGTGTTAACATCGCCACTCAGGAGACAAAGGTGACCAGGTGTTGTGCTGGCCACCCACCCCATTGTGTCCCGTGCCAGCCTTCATATGTGCTCGCAAACAGCATTTGCCCCAACAGTCTGTTAAGGCTATACGGGAGATCTTTGAAACCGCAATAGTTTGTATTTTTCGGACTGAATCATAGCAAACAGGGAACACCCTTATTTCTGGAAAAGGAGTGGCAGTAGCAAATCATTCTCAGAATGCAACGCCTTGCTTTGGTTAATCAGAGGTGCATTTTTCTCCAGATCCTTAGATTTTTCCCTTCACATGTAGAAACATGCCTTGAGAGTATTTGGCTGCTACACATTTCCCCTTGATAAGCCACTTTGTTGAGCTATCATTTGTGGCCAGGTCACTTCTGAAAAGCAGCTATATAGCTCAGTGGGCCTTACCTGATGAAATAAACATTTAAGTTAATAGTTGAAACTAGATTCAAAGGAGGTCTCATGATGTAGATGCTCACTCCGAGCTCGCATTACTTTGATAGTGCATTTTCTTTGAGCTGTACGCCTTTTGGCGTCCTCTGGTCTAGCACCGTTTGAGACGAGGCTCAAAAGAAAGCTGTCTCTGGTGTGGACCAATCAGTTTCAAGGAGAATGCATATATTATCAGTGTGTTTTTTGTTTATATTCTGACCACAAGTATTGTGGTTAATGCAGACATGATTCCTTGTGAAAAGGTGTCAGTTTTGTTGAAAGAAAAAAAGGGGAAAAACCTAATCTTATATGTTTGGTACTTGCAAAGGAGGTCTCATGATAAGACGGCCCTCTTTTCTTCCACGTGAGACTCACTTGTTTCTTGAACTTCATCCTGATCCTATTCTACTGTTAAAAGACAAACCTCATCTATTCGCACTAAATCCTGGAGTGGAAATGGTGAAGCAGCTTTGAAAATAAAAGGAAAATATATGTTGTGAACAGTCGTAGCTTCATGGCGTATCGAAGCCGTGGGGTTTTGTTTTTTGCACAGCATATACCACGACAGTGAAAAATTATGAACAGTTGGTTGAGACTTAATAGTTGACGTGTGAATAGATGAGGGTTACCTGTGATGGAATTTTTTCAATTTTCTCCCTTGTCGCTGCAACATTGCACCACGCATATAATTCTCCTGCCACCTGTATATACAAAAGAAGTGTAAAACCTATTCTCACCTTCCAAATTCTCTGATCATCCTTCACCCACTCCCCCTTGACCTGATGTCACTTGTACATCCATTCCCAACGCAGTTATGCGTGGTTACTTTACAAACACAATTTATACTCCATTGGATGTCTCTTTTTTTTCTGAACTAGCACTTATTAGTTACAATAGTCGAGCAAAATAGACGAGAAGCAAATCGTCGCTTCTGTGGTGGCCTTGAATATTAAGGAGTGATAATACTCCGTATTTTCATGATACCATTTCAATCAGCTGCTCCAGGCTATGAGAACACGAACTTAGCTTCAGGTTAAAGGTACTAAAGATGCAGCCCTGCAATTGCTTGCCCACTGCTACTGCTGTTGGAAGTGCCCCGAACTCGAGGGGGCTCCATAGAGGCCCCCATCTGGAGGGTTATTTCGCCGAATTTGTCTGAGCTATTCTTAGGTTTTTTCGGTAAAGTCACGTAGGTAAAAAAATTAAATTAATAAAAGTAAAATACAAATATTTTATTTTTATTTTACTTTTTATTTTATTTACTTTTATTAATTTTAATTTTTACCGACGTGACTTTACCGAAAAATCCTAAGAAAATGAATACTTGCAGTCACGAAAGCTTCAAATCTAGAATTGTCTGAGCTAGCCAGACGTATTAGAAGAGTTGCGTGTAAACCCCCACTCCACGTGGCCTGCCAACTGCCGAACTGACCAACTGTGTTGTACCCATTTATTTCCGATGGCAGAACAGAGGCGGGGGTGGGTGGCATTTTCGAAACTGCAAGTGCTCCGTTTTAATTATTGCTGCCTTAATACACGTAGGAAAATGCTTGCGTGATTTTTATTTTCGCCAATTGTTTGTCATCTTCGTTGTTTCTATGAAATTATACCAATTGAAATTCTGAAAATTATAACCACAAGTTTGTCTTGGTTCTCATGGCTCATTTTAATATGATGAGTTACTTATCCCTAGCCTAACAGCTGCCTTGAGGGAAGTCACACCCAAAAAAAACAAATAGCTGCTTTGTCTAGACTATGTATCACATGCTGCCTGACAGTTTTAAGGGTTCATTCGTTCGTTTCTCAGTCCGCTTGTCCTGGTGAGAGTCGCGGCGTCAGCATATCGAGGAGGGTGGTCCAGACCTCCTTTTCCCTTGCGACAGAATCTATCTCTTCCCGGGAATTCCCAGGTGTTCCCAGGCCAGCTGAGCGACATAGTCCCGCCAGCGTGTACTGGGCTGGCCCCGGGGTCTTCGCCCAGTGAGACGTACCCGGTAGAGTTCCAGGGGGAGTCTATTGGGGGGCATCCTTACCAGGTGCCCGAACCACCTCAACTGGCTCCTCTTGATCTGGAGGAGCAGCGGTTTGATTCTGAGGCTTTCCCGGATTACGGAGCTCCTCATCCGATCACAGAAAGTGAGCCCGGCAACCCTGCGGAGAAACCTCATTTCGGCCTCTTGTACCCGCGATCTCATCCTTTCGGTCATTACTCAAAGCTCATGACCATAGGTGAGGGTGGGAATGTAGATCGACCTGTAAACCGAGAACTTTGTTCGAGAACTCAGCTCCCGCTTTACTACCACGGAATGGTGCAGTGCCCGCAACACCGTGGACACCGCACCGATCCCCCGTCCGAATCTCCCGCTGCCACTTACCATCACTCTTGAAAGAGACCCCGAGGAACTTAAACTCCTCCACTAAGGGCGGCTGGTCCGCCCTCACCTGGAGAGAACAATCCACCATCTCCCGGGAGTGCATGCTGGAGATAACAGACTGATGAGGCAAAGAGGAAAGGACAATGTCATCTGCAAAAAGCAGCGACGTCACCGCCATGCCCCCATATTGGATACTCTTCGTACCTCGGCTG